TTACATGGACGGTCTTGCCTCAAGGCTTTAAAAACAGTCCCACAATTTTTGATGAGAGCTAGAACTATGACAACAGCCACCGGGAGAGAGGGCGTTCTTCTGCAATATGTAAATGATCTCCTAATAGCAACAGAAACAAAAGAGGACTGCATTCAATGGACAATATCTCTCTTAAACTTTTTGGGTTTAAGTGGTTATCGAGTGTCTCAACAGATAGCTCAGCTGGTCCAGGAGAAAGTCGTGTACCTGGGATATGAAGTATCAGGAGGACAACGATCCCTGGGGACGGCAAGGAAAGAAGCCATCTGCCAGACACCCAGACCAGAAACGGTGAGAAGCCTCCGAGCCTTCCTAGGAACGACAGGTTGGTGCCGCTTGTGGATATATCAGTATGGGATAATTGCAAAACCTCTGTATGATCTGCTAAGACTGAATAAAGATCACATAACTTGAACCCCCGAGGCAGACAAAGCCTTCAAAAGACTGAAGCGAGAACTCATGAGGGCTCCGGCGTTGGGTTTACCTGATGTGACGAAGCCCTTCTGGCTGTTCTCGCACAAGCGTCAAGGAATGGCTTTAGGGGTCCTGGCTCAACAACTGGGGCCGCTAAAAAGAGCAGTGGCCTACTTCTCCAAGCAACTAGATGAGGTAAGCAAAGGATGGCCTACTTGCCTAAGGGCTGTCGCACAGCAGAAGCCAGAAAGCTTACTATGGGACAGAAAATGACTGTGTTGGTATCCCATACTGTATCTGCAGTGCTAGAACAAAAAGGGAACCATTGACTGTCACCTTCCCGGTTCCTGAAATACCAGGCAATCCTAGCTGAATCTGATGATGTAACCATTCAGGTGACTAACACTGTCAACCCAGCTTCATTCCTAGAAGGAAAAACCTCAGCGGAACCTGTTGTACATGACTGCTTGGAGACCATTGAAGCAGTGTACTCCAGTCGCCCAGACCTCAAAGAAGAACCACTTCAGGATGCAGATGACTGGTTCTCGGATGGCAGCAGTTTCGTGAAACAAGGTACAAGGATGGCTGGCTACGCAGTGACTACAACAGAACAGGTAATTGAATCCAACCCTTTACCTGTAGGAACTTCAGCTCAGAAAGCAGAACTGATAGCTCTTACCTGAGCTCTTGAACTGGCAAAGGGAAAGCGAATCAACATCTGGACTGACTCTAAATATGCCTTTGCTGTTGCACATGCCCACGGAGCGATCTGGAAGGAAAGAGGACTATTGACCACTCAAGGAAAAGCTGTTAAACATGCAGAGGAGATCCTGCGATTGTTAGAAGCCGTCCAACTCCCATTACAGGTGGCTATAATGCATTGCAGGGGACACCTGAAAAGCAACACCGTTCCAGAAACAGGAAACAGGAAAGCTGATGCAGAAGCCAAATTAGCAGCTGCAAGAGGTACTGAACAACCAGTAGCAGCTTTAGTACCAGAAGGACTGGACACAAATCAACAGGTAGAGTATCAGGAAACAGATTATCAGTGGATACACAAAAATGGAGGTAAGCTGTTAGACAATGGATGGGGTCAATTGAAGACAGGTCAGTTAGTATTACCAGAAAAATTAATATGGCAATTTGTGAAAACAGAACACGATAAAACTCACTGGGGTTTGGATCCACTCTATCAACACTTAAAAGCTAGGGTAGCTGGACCAAATTTGTTTACCACAATAAAACGAGTCACATCCCAATGTGAACTTTGCCTGAAAAACAATCCAAATACCAAACTTAAAATTAACCCAGGAGCAATAAAAAGAGGATGCTTTCCAGGTGAGATTTGGCAAATTGATTTCTCTGAACTTCCAAGAAAAGGGGGGGGTATCGTTATTTGCTAGTTTTGACTGACACATTTTCTGGTTGGCCAGAGGCGTTCCCATGTAGAACAAATAAGTCAAGAGAAGTGGTTAAAGTCTTGCTAAATGAGAATATACCACGATTTGGAGTACCTAAGAGTATCTCTTCAGGTAGAAGTTCACACTTCTGTGCAGAAGTGGTACAAGCAATAAGTAAAGCATTGAAAATTGATTGGCAATTGCATACGCCCCACAGACCCCAAGCAAGTGGGCAAGTAGAAAAAAAATGAATCATCTCATTAAACAACAAATTGCTAAAATATGTCAGGAAACAAATCTTTACTGGTACCAAGCTTTACCTATTGCTTTAATTAGGCTAAGGGTCAAGCCAAGGTCAAAAGAGAAACTGAGTCCATTTGAAATTCTATTTGGCAGACCCTACATGATGCAAACTGTGAATAGTGAAGCTGTAGATCAAATTGGTAATCAGTATGTGTATGATTATGTTATGGCTGTAGAAAAAAAAAACAATTGCAGAAAAATGCTACAGTGGTGTTAGAACACCAACCTAAACAGCCTGATTGAAAGTTACATCCATTCAACCCTGGTGATCGGGTATATGTTAAGAATCTTTCAGGAGATCCACTACGGGAGAAATGGGATGGACCCTACCAGGTGCTGATGACCACCTTCACAGCGATCCGGGTGAAAGAGAAACCTACGTGGATCCACTACTCTCGAGTCAAGAGGGTTCCAGAAGAAGCATGGACCTCGGGAGAAGAACCATCTACTATTAAACCTCCTCAATGCTGATCTTTGGACTGATAAGTACATTGGTTTTAGGTCAAACTCTTGCCCAAAATCCATTATGGTTACAGGCCTACAATGGGAGTTCTGGTTTGCGAACTGGTGTACTAAACCTGCTCAATATGACTCCATCTGAAACGGGTGAATACAATCCATCTATCATAGTCCTCCAAGGAACAAAAGTGTTGGATAATTGGGAACGTCCTGGTAACTCATATGATGCAAGTGTCCTAATAGGAAAAGTTGGAGACCAAACTCGAATTGGATGTAAAAATGTATAAACCACCCTCATTAATTGATTGGTCACCCAAAACTATCATTTCCATAATAAGACTCACCTACCCGCATAACTTTAGAAATGTACTCAGTAAACATGAATGCAATTCTGATGAATGTTGGCACACCTTCACTCTAAATAGAACAGTTTCTGGGATATGTCAATGGACAACTAAAAAAGTGTATATAGTCAGGAGATTTATAATTAAGGCTACATCAAGTATCCCAACTACTAAACCTCCTGCCACATCATTGACTAAAGCCACCACCACCTCGACAACTTCCCCGAACTGTGGGAATAGAAAAATTATCAAGCATGGTGGCAGTTAGTGAATTTCACTTACAATACATTAGGAGCCATACACCAAAACATGATTGTCAGACCTATTGACCATAATGTTTGGGCAAGTTATGATCACACCAAGAAAAAGTGGCAGTCAGTTAGTACCGAGGCTTGTACTCCTAGGGGACAATTAAGATATATCTGTGAAAATGCTGTAGTAAAAAGGAAGATTTATGCTTAGATACTGAGAATAGTGTGTGTACCTTTGAAATGCCTCCCCATGCTAAAGTCCAATCACAAGTCTATTACGTAGAAAATAGGTGTGCATGTGTTAGGACCTTTTGTGTTAATTTTACCGTAGATACTTGTCATGAAGTTACGAATGGTACCAATTTTTACAATTGATTGAAGCTGATTATATGATTTACCATGATGTGCCAAAATTACAGACAGGAATGAACATTAGTCTTTTCAAAGCAATGCTTAGACATCCTGACATAGAAAAACTGGTCCAGGAAGTGAACAGAACAACTCGGCAAATGCTCTGGCAAGTGGAACATGACACAGAAAACATAAAAACTGTTTTAACCAAAGTGGAAAAGGTGGGAGAACACCACTGGTGGGACATCTTTATAGGATACTCCCCCGCAGCATCACAGGTGTTTCACTACTTAATACATCCAGTAATAGTTGTTGTAGCCAGTATAATACTGATGATGATCTTCAATGTTTGGCTATGGTACAAAGTAAGTACTACATTTTAAAAGATACAAATAGTGTGGGCAGTGATGCATATCTATCAAAACCCATTAGAACTTGATGAAGGAATTCGTAAGTTATAAGTAAAAAGGGGGGATTGAAACAGGAGGGTAAGCCCAAAAGAGTTAACTAAGAAACTTGGGCTTGCTAGCAAGTTACTTACATCCAAAATGTTCTGTTCTGTTAACTGGACCAAAGCTTAACAGAGTGCTAAGGTACATGTAATGGGCCTAGATGTAATAAATTAGGATTCAGTAAGCTAAAGTAGACATTTGAATAGGAGAAATAGGCCAGGAGCCAGGGCTTTCTCCAAGCTTGAGCGAGCGGGTCAAGAACAATGGAAAGGAAGAAAGGTCGGACTGAGGAAGATGACAATACGCCCCCTCCCCATGGGATGAAGATCAGTTGTACCCCTAAAATTGGGGGCCAAGAGAAGCGCCGCCCCAAGCTCCGCCTGAGCTCCACCTATACTCCACCTGTTATCAATATGTATGAATAGATGCTGTAATCACTTGAATATGCATTTGATCACACCTGAAAAATTGTATAAAACTGCTGATTTTGTGTGAAGCAGGGGAGCAAGTTTTTCCAGCAATAGCTGGCTTGCTCCCAGCGCTGCTAATAAATACCTTTGCTGCTTAAAGATAAAAAGTCTCTGAGCAGTTTCTCAGACCGATTTTTCGGATTCATAGGAGTCAGCTTTTCGTGGGATGAAGTCCTCTGAGGCTACTGCTGGGCCGGCTCCTCCGGGCATGCCTTTCTCAGAGTCACTCCCGAGACTCCACTCGTTCATTCTTAGGATCATTTCTGATCCTAAACGTTAAACAGTCTTGTAGGCGTATTTTTAATCTAGTATCTGTAGCTCTCGTTTTCTTTTGTGTCTGCCGAGCCTTTGGTCACTGACGGACTGCCTACTTCTTCCGCTCCTCCTGAGCTGCAGCGGCCACCTTCGGGCCACACGCCCATTCTCTGCCTTCTTCCAGCCCGCCAGCCGAGAACACGGCGAGGCGGCCCGGCGGAGGCGGTGCCGGACTGCGCGGGCCCCGCTCCTTCCTCGCCGCCCCCGCGCCGTGAGACGAGACAAGATGGCGGCAGTCGGGCCTGGGCCGGGGGAGCGGCAGGCGGGCAGGGGGAGCGGCAGGCTGCCCGGTGTAGCGCAGGGAGCCGGGCCGTAACCCGCGTGTCTTCCCTGCTTTATTAACCACGGAGCTCGAGGAGCAGCAGGAGAGGCAGCGTGCGCCCTGTTTGCAGCCCTGAAATGACACCGAGACACTTGAACGCGGGCGGACGGGAGAGGATGGTGCCCTGATGCGCTGAAGGGCTGTACCAGCATCAGTACTACAGAAAGCAGCACGCAGGTACGTGCATCGACAGAGAGGCAGTGTTGGATTAAAATAAGACGCAGATGAAACTCGTTTATAAAGCAGAAACTTGATGAGAAGAAACCCCCACATTCAGTGGTCAGGGTCTTAGAAATACAGAGAAGAAAGTCCGTTGGTAGGCACCTTTCAGTACCTCTTGTTTGTAACAGGATTCTGTTTTTGTGATCTCTTCCTGCTGCTGTGGATTTGTTACTAGCTGGCAGAAAGCCCCAGTCGAGTACCCTTCTGACAACCAGTTACAGCAGCAAAGGGCCTGTTCTTGCTCAGACAAACTCCAGTTTCATGTACGCTATGTTTTGTAATAGTAGTTCACATGTATATAGTTCAGCGCCCCCACTGGCATACGTTTAGTCCAATGGCTGTTATGCAACGACTGCGCTCCCTGTTTTTATGTGCCAGCTGGATTGTTCAGCACTTAAGAATGTGCCTACTCTTCTTAATTTATTTTAAATTTCAGAAAAATGTTTGGTAAGTTGGCAAAATTGACTGTTAGGACTACAGGAGACTGTTTATATAAACTTCAGAACTTTAAGATTATATACATTAGCAGTATTTATATATGAAGCAAACTGCTAAAACTTTTGACTTTGGATGTATCAAAAAGCAACTCTAAGTATCGTAAGTTAGAAAAAACAACAGGATGGTTGGAGGACTGAGAAGGTAAGACAGCTAAACTTCATGCTGTATTTTACTGGTTATAGCCTCCAAAATTATAATAGTGCAAGGGCAACTCATGTTCCCCTCCTGACATGAGGGAAAGCAGTACTGCATTTGCACATAAGGCTTGCGCACAGCACTGGTGGCTTTCACCTCATTCATTTATAATTAAAACTTTCTAAGAGGTCACTAAGGTAAGAGATGAAAAACCCTGTTTAGCTCAGTACATGTCTTCCTACTCAGTAAAGGTACATAATGCTTGATGACGGTTAGTAAAATTTTTAGTTGTTTTGTTAACAATCTGTGTATTAATGGCACTGCTTTTTCCACTTTCCTAGGCAGCAGCAGGAGAGAAAGGGATTTATCATAGCAACACTGAACCAAGACTACGCCTCAGCTCTTTATATGGAACTGCTGACAGAGGAAGCTGCAGAACTGAAAGCAGTCTGTCCTTGACTGCATGAGACCATGCCTCTCACAGAAGGCAAATGATGTCTTACTTCAAAAATTTTATGAAATGCAAACTTATTGATTCACTTTTCTTAGAGCTGTTGCACTTGAATAACTGCGTAAGGTTAAGGTTCCTACTCACTTCAAATTACGATTTACAGTTTGATTTGCTCTGAAGACTACAGAGGTCAAATAAAAAAAAAAGGCAAAAACTTTTCTTTTGGCATACAGGCTCTTTCTTCCTCCTACTACAGGAGAGCCTTTTTAGATACATGGTGAACTAAAACTTAACAAGTACAGAACAAAACATACCAAAAAACATTTTTTCACAGAAAAAAGTAGCCTCTGAAAACGTGAAGTTGTCAGTAAAAAGGAATACAACAGCAAAGTACATAATAGAGCAATACTTTTATATTATTGCAACAGCAATAATACTATCAGTAAATACTATCACTAAATCAGTAGAAAAGTAACTCCTTACAAATGCAAATACTGACCTAATATTAATTAATCAATACTGCTGCAGGCATTGAGTGTGGATAACTGTATTTTCGGGTTGTAAACTTGTGTGCTTTAATGATTTAAATAGCAGTTTGGACCTTTTGCTTTATACTGTTTGTGTCTAGATTAAAGATAAATGGCTGGTAACTTGTCCTGGGTTTACTCCACAGTGCTTGAGAGTTGCCTGTGTGATCCAATAGGATGGTGGGACTACCAAGTTTCCTTTATCTGAACAAGTATCGGAACTTTTGACCAAAGTGGGATTAAGTTCTACTCACGTTAGAAGAGCACTCCTGTCCAATATATGCACAAGAAACTATCAAGAAGCACACTGCTTAAATTGACACTGGTTTATTTTGTTTAGGAACATTTAATAAATACCAATCTTTTGGCTTCAGTTTGGCAATCCTTCCCCACCAAAAATCCACTGTGTTGTTTTTTTTTTTCCTGGCATAAACTCCATTGCCAGCAATGGATGTATCAGAAAAAGAAGTTAATAAATACAGACAGCAGTTCTCTAAACATACCTCATCGTTTAAAGGCATGATACAGATTTACTAAACAAATGTCAAACAAGTTCTTCACAGAAGAAAATTTTGCTACAAGCTGTCTCTGAACATTGTTTTCTTCACTAATGCTGGTAGTTTATTTCATTGAGTACAATATTTTTGAACAGTACTGTTGAATCATTTAAAAACAAGCTTTTTCCCCCTTTTCCTCAGCTTAAGGTAAGCTGAGACATGTAATTAGTACTGAACTGTATGAATTTAAGACTGGTGTACCTCTTCCTGAGCATTTCATGACAATCATGAAGAAACAGCAATATAAGACTTTGCTAGTATGGGCCTGGGGGATTTTTTTCATTTGTTTCAGCTTGCTTTTAAACCACTGTTCAAATGTTAAAAGTATCATATTTAAATTTAACAGATGTTTTGTGTAAATTTCTGTTAAGTTTAAAAATGTGATGGAAGATTCCTGCTTGTGATGAGAATCACTTTCAAGTACTTAAATTTGAATATCCCACTAAACTCCATTGCTTATTAAAAATGTGTTTTTATAAAAGCATGAAGACTACAGAAAACCAATTAACATAACAGAGTTAATCCTGAATAAATTTTTCCACAACCATATAACCAAACTCCTGCTTTAGCAAAAGCAAAAATAAAAATAAATTCTCTTCCCACTATTTACACTCAGGAATTATCTTTCTGAGGGACTAGATACTTTACTCTACAGTCCCTCTAACCCAAGATGTATTCTTAGGTGTATCCCCTTGTGATTTCGGGTCTTGGAAGTTTTCAGCAAACCTCTCTCTTGCTTTGTCCCAGTTCTTTTTATTCTTGCTCTGGATGAGTTGAACATCTTCAATTGAGACTGGTCTCCTAGTACCCAAACCTGCATGCTTCTGATGTAACTCAAGTTGGATCTGTCAAATACATTAAATGTTTTGTAACTGCAAGTTAGGTATCTAAATACTTCATATTTTTCTAATACAAATTCCACCCCCCACTCCCAAGCACTTCTCTTTCAGGTTCTAATACACCTAGATCATACATGAACAGTACCATGGAAATGATGTGTCAAACCACCACCTCTAGAACCATGATTTAGAGTGCTGATAGATGTCACCTGCCCCTAACATTACTGTGAAATACACCTGAGTGAGCAGCATATGATCCCTGTGCTACAGCAGCCCCAGAGAAAGTGAAGAACTCTACCCTAAGCTCATCTGGAATTCACATCACTTAAATGATTTCAATCTTCCTCCAGACTATTGTATTCAAGTATGACATTATTAATTCAATGGCTAGAAGCTGTCTGTCCTCCTTTGCATAGTTTCCTAACAAACACAGACATTTCTGGCATTTTCTACTGAAGGGACAACGCTATTGAAAAATTTCAAAGTACCTCATTAGTCAAGAAAAAAATTATTTGAGATTAGTCTGACTGAGATTATTCCTTCCTAACCAGGAGTTTGAAATGTTTCAAGTGAATAGTGGCATACAATTAGATATTTTTCACTGCAAATACATTATTTTTGTTTCAAGTGAAAACCAGAAAGACCTACCGGATTCTTCATTCCACTACCATCCTTTCCCAGGCCTTCCCCCTTCTTCCATCCCATCTTCTCCAACATTTTATGTCCTTTGTTGCTGTTGCTGATTTCACTTTGAAGAAAATTTAAGATAACTGATAAGCAAGAGTTCATATAAAGAGTATGCCCTGAAATACTGAACAACAGAAATGTGTGTGCATATACTGCTCTGGAAACCACAAATCAAATACTGTGCTGCTCCTACTTCCATCAAGAGCTATCCAGAAGACCCTAACGCTACCTTTTACAAGTTCCTCCAAGAGTATCTTTGGTTAACAAAGCCATTCCAAGCATCTGGTAACTATCAACTTAACTTAAAACTGCTTCTGAACTATTTGCTTGCTTTAGGAGCTAAAAGCTACATCATGAGTGGGTAGGAATGGACTGCACTAGGGAAAAGGCAGTATCTGTGCCAAGTCATCCTAATGCATTTATTTAATTGTCTCACACTTCCTTTTACTAATTTACCAGCATCTGTAAGGTTATGTTTCTTAAGAAAACCACCCCAACTACAACTACAGAAGCAAAGTAATAATTGAAGAGGAACATTATATTAAGTATCAAGATGTATGTAAATACATGCTCTATGACAGGCTGGATATTGACAGTGAAAGAAATTGCAGGTGAAAAATCTGCATGTGTACTATTACTGGGGCTGAATAGGAAAAATAAAAATTGAGCCTCTTGAAAAATAGACACTACAGAAAATGTCAGTAGTGCAGCTGGGACTTGGATTTTTTGAGTTGGTAAGGAAGTGATCTAAGCATCCTTACTGCCCAGTTGAATTCTGCATGGAAAGTGATGAGTTAAGAAAAAGACTATGTGAAATGGGATGTATGAATAGCTTACAATTTTCTAGCTCTCCTAACACATTACATACAGGTAAATTTGTAATCTAAAAAACTGTATGCTGGTAACAAATTGATACTTTATCATATTTTTTTTAAGATTCACAAGAAAAGGACATGGGGGATACCTCCCCTGCCTCTCCAACTTACATATGGACAGAAGCTGAACTGTCATCTCTCTGGAAGGCTCCTTCACTTCCAACAGTCTCTCTGCGTTTTCCTGCTCTGTCTTTGTACTTTGGATTCTTCACTGCTTTGTTGTCTTCATACTCTGTGTTCTTTATAAGCAGATTAAGTTCCATCAAGACAAAGAAAGTGGGCTTTAAATTCTTCATTTTTGATAACTGCACTTCTTCCCTCCAAAGCAAGGCAGCTTCAGCCTACTTCATTAATTGTAAACCTTATAACAAAAAAACTACAGTCCTCACTTAGTTTACAGCCATACCTTGTAAGGCATATTATTGCCATCATCACATAATGATGTAATATTGCCAATTTCAATAATTTCACAGAAGCTGTAAATCAAATAACAGGTTCTCTTCAATCTTCTCTTGGTATGAAGAATCAATCTCTTCATATCAAGCAGAAAACCAAGTGGCCCTTTACCCTGTTTCTCAGCAACTATTTTTTTTCAGAATAGATGACAGAACTAAGCATTTCTACTGATTCTCTATTAATATTATTTTGGTAGCTGAAGAATCTGAAAGAAACAATGGCATTCTGTTTTGTACAAATGTACAAATGCTAGATGTAACCCCACAGTTAAAGTTATATCTAAAACAAAAGTAACTTGAATACATATATACTATATTGCCTGTATGTTCACGTTGGCATTCTTCTACGGATTTAAAAACTTGAAAAAAATTCCTTCCACCATTTTTTTCAGTTGCTCATTATTTTTCCTTTCCAAATAAAAGACAGCACTGCAATTCAGTGAAAACTTAATCTGCAGAAATAAAAATGTCTTGCAAAATCTTAACCTCAAAAGGATTAGGAATCTTATATCCATTGGAAAGATCTTCTTCTCCTAAACTTTAAACAGAACTTTCACGCCCCCTTACAATCGTCTCTCTCAGCACAGGTTTGTAAAGAATTATTATTTAGGGTACAAAAGACAAGCTTGAGTTAAACTACCAGGCTCAAGTTTGAGTGCATTTGAAAACTTCTCTTAAAACTTAAAATAGGAATCACAAAGCATTAAAAAAATAGAAACCAGAAGATTACAAAAACTTAATGAACTTCTTACTCTAAACTCACCTGTAAACCATATTTTACCCGTATTTGTTTTAATGCTTTTCTTCTGACTAACTCTCTCTCTTCTTTGCTAAGTGCTGGGCAAACTAAAAGGAAGAACACAGGACTGAGTTTCTAATTACTAGTGTAACAATGTTTTGAAACATGACAAGTGTGAGAATTTTTGTTCTAACATTATTATAGACACACATACCAAGAAGAAAATACATCATGTACAACTATTTCCAGTTGACAAGAAAATTGTAAGAAAACTAATAACTATGTTTATATTATAAACAGCTATAATAAAGCCATAATAATAAACATCTCCTGTGATAACCTGACTAACCAGAGGATTCCTTTTTCCTGTCCAGGCGAAGATGTGCTCTGACTTGTCCTGGTTCACATCCATCACAAGTATCACTGCCAGGATGTATATGAAAAGAAAGCACAGTTTCACCAATCTTCACTTCG